ACAGCCCTTTTGCTTTTAATCAGACAATAGTCAAGTCACTTGACTTCAGGGGAATTTTTTCACCCTGGTGCAGTGCTTGCTTGTCAAGGCAGGCAGGCCTTGTGCGGCCTAGGCAGTCCAATTGTAAGCTGAAAGTTGCTCAGAATATTTTGATATTACGGTTTTACAAAAAAGGGAGGTCATAACATAAGTTAGCGTGGAAAGTCTGATTTTTCAGAGCAATTCCCCTCCATCCAGACCGTGTCTGACGACAGAGGTTGCGTAGCTTGTGTCAGTAAAGACAGTCCACTCTCATGTATTGAAAGAGTTAACATCAGTAAAATGGCTGTATTAACCAAAGCAATATAAAGATTCAGTGGAATTCCTATCAAAATCCCAATGGCATTCTTCCCAGAAATAGAATTAAAAAAAAAAAAATCATGAAATTTACTTGGAACTACAAAAGGACCCAAAGTGTCAAAGCACCCTGAAAAAAAAAAAACAAAGAAAAGGTGGTATCATGCTAGCAAACCTCAAACTCTACTACAAAACAGTGGTGTCCAAAATGGAAAGGAATTAAAAACACACACACAAATCAACAGAACAAAAATAAGTTCACAAAAATATAGGCAACTAATTTACCATGAGTCATAAGCATACAATGGAGAAAGTCTTTTCAATAAATGGTATTGGAAAAATGGACAGTCACATGCAAAAGAATGAACCTAATCACTAGCTCACAGCACACACAAACAATTAAAAATGGATCAGAGACTTGGAAGTAAGAGCTGAAACCACTAAAAACAGCAGTAATACATTCAGTGACATCAACTTAGTAATGTTTTTGAGGAGTAGTCCAATGGCAAGGGAAACAATCAAAACTGAACAAATGACACTGTATCAATCTAAAACTTAAGCACAGCAAAAGAAAGTATTAAAACAAAGACATCTTGGGCCCTTCCTGCTGGCGCTGCAAGTTAAAACATAATACTAAGAAGCTAAAGCCACTTCAGCATAAATTCGATTCCCGCCTGCCGCAGAGGTGACCACATGGTGTGGCAGACCTCTCCTGACCTGTGCCCCGGTTCTGCAGTGCATAAATAAATAAATCTTTAAAAAAAAAAAAAAAGAAAGATGGTGGTGACTGAATGAGAGAGTAGAGGGAAGGGAGGAAACGGAGCTATCAGAATTATGGACTAGCAGATGTGGGGAGGCAGACAGAAAGTGGAGTCAAAGCAAGATACACAGTTTTGACCTGAGCACCTAGAAGCAGGGAATTATTACACAGGAGGTAAGATGTAAGTGGGGCTGGCAAATATCAAAAGCTGGGTTCTCAAAGGCTCTACTGTTAGAAATAGAATACTGTTAGAAAAAGTTATTAGAAATAATAAATATGGTAGAGTAGTAGTCTATAAAATTAATATATATATAATCTGTTGTGTTTCTATACACAAATAATGAACTAGCAGAGAGAGAAGTGAGGAAAACAATCCCATTTATTACATCAAAAGTACCCTGGGGTAAATTTAAGAATGGAAAAAACTGTACAAGGAATAGTAGTAAGGCACGTTAAAAACCTGAAGGAAGAAATGTAAAGTGTCGGAGACCAGCTCCAACTATTGAGGTGTCTGGAGTTAAGACACGCAGGACCCTAAGGTGGGAAGACGTGGGTGAGTGGAGATTCCTAAGAAAGGGGAAGAAGGAGAAAAAAGGGAAAGGGGGGTGAGGAAGACACGGGAGTCAGAGTTGGGTGCAAGTCTTCCTGCTCTGCCTTCAGCAGAGGTTTATTTTATACATTAGGAGCAAGCAGTGGGATGACATCAGCACAGGAACTGGGCTGAGAGATTACAATCATCTTTGTTTTTCCTAAGAACAGTTTAGGATCATATTGCCCTTTAGCTGAGATATAACATTCCAAAATCAATCAAGGTTAAAAACAAGTACATAAGTGCACAAAGTTTATGACTAATATTACTATATTGGAGATCAACTAAGATAGAAGTCCAGTCCCTTAAACCTTATCTACTACTTAATGGGTTTTTGTTTTTTTGCCTGAATCATCCTGGGAGACAGAAGAGGAAATTCCTTGCTAATCAAATCTCTGAATAGGAGACCCTGGATGAATTTTCACATCTAAAGGCCAGACAATAGGAAGTTTGAGTAATTCTTTAAAAAGCTGAATAGAAGGCTAGGTGAGATAATAGAATGATAAGATTTGGGTTATCCTCCATCCGGCAGTGAGAGAGACTTTGCAAAAACAGCCCTTTTGCTTTTAATCAGACAATAGTCAAGTCACTTGACTTCAGGGGAATTTTTTCACCCTGGTGCAGTGCTTGCTTGTCAAGGCAGGCAGGCCTTGTGCGGCCTAGGCAGTCCAATTGTAAGCTGAAAGTTGCTCAGAATATTTTGATATTACGGTTTTACAAAAAAGGGAGGTCATAACATAAGTTAGCGTGGAAAGTCTGATTTTTCAGAGCAATTCCCCTCCATCCAGACCGTGTCTGACGACAGAGGTTGCGTAGCTTGTGTCAGTAAAGACAGTCCACTCTCATGTATTGAAAGAGTTAACATCAGTAAAATGGCTGTATTAACCAAAGCAATATAAAGATTCAGTGGAATTCCTATCAAAATCCCAATGGCATTCTTCCCAGAAATAGAATTAAAAAAAAAAAAATCATGAAATTTACTTGGAACTACAAAAGGACCCAAAGTGTCAAAGCACCCTGAAAAAAAAAAAACAAAGAAAAGGTGGTATCATGCTAGCAAACCTCAAACTCTACTACAAAACAGTGGTGTCCAAAATGGAAAGGAATTAAAAACACACACACAAATCAACAGAACAAAAATAAGTTCACAAAAATATAGGCAACTAATTTACCATGAGTCATAAGCATACAATGGAGAAAGTCTTTTCAATAAATGGTATTGGAAAAATGGACAGTCACATGCAAAAGAATGAACCTAATCACTAGCTCACAGCACACACAAACAATTAAAAATGGATCAGAGACTTGGAAGTAAGAGCTGAAACCACTAAAAACAGCAGTAATACATTCAGTGACATCAACTTAGTAATGTTTTTGAGGAGTAGTCCAATGGCAAGGGAAACAATCAAAACTGAACAAATGACACTGTATCAATCTAAAACTTAAGCACAGCAAAAGAAAGTATTAAAACAAAGACATCTTGGGCCCTTCCTGCTGGCGCTGCAAGTTAAAACATAATACTAAGAAGCTAAAGCCACTTCAGCATAAATTCGATTCCCGCCTGCCGCAGAGGTGACCACATGGTGTGGCAGACCTCTCCTGACCTGTGCCCCGGTTCTGCAGTGCATAAATAAATAAATCTTTAAAAAAAAAAAAAAAGACATCTTACTGAAGAAAGAAGTATTCGTATATCATACACCTGACAAGAGGTTAGTATCTAAAATATATGAAGAATTCAACAACAAAAAGCAAAACAATCCAATAAAAGAGTGGGCAGAAGATTTGCTACAACATGGATAGAAGTGGAGGGGATTACGCTAAACAAAGTTGGAAAAAGACAAATAACACATGATTTCATTTACATGTGGAATATAAAAAAAGAAGTAAAAGAACAGACAAAGACAAACCAAATGTAACTGCAAACTGAAATGTAACTGCAGAACTGAGGTCACAGAGGAGGGAGGAAGAAGGAAAGCGAGAGGGGTGGGCGGTGTTCAGTGGATTATAGTGGAAGATCATGGGCACGCTGGTGGTGGATGTAGTGTAACAGCATGTATCCGCTGAGGTGTGAACAATACATCACACCTCCATAAAAACAGTTTTAAGAAATGGGCAGAGGATCTGAATAGACATTATATCCCAAGATATAAAGATGTTCAACAGGTACTTAGCTAGGACCAGACATTCATACTAACAGGAAAGAAGGTATCAGATAACGGATATAGGAAGAGAAGTAGAAACAGGGATGGGAACTTATGGGAGGTTGTCTGTGTAGTCACTACACCAAAATACCCTTAAGTCTTCCACCACAGGCATCTGTGCTGGTAGAAACCCATTCTCCCACAATCCTGCTCTCCTCTCTCCCTCCTTTTCCCATCTTGATGGCTTCAGTGTTCTCATCTAATAGGACACAATGATCAGCTAACCATGGGAATAGGGAACAAGAGCTTTAAGTAAAGAGGGAAAAAATGGCTACCTCAAGTACAAATTAAATACACTTTTTACTTTTTCTATAATAGGCATTACTTCGTTAGTCTCATTCCAAAATTTTATGACTTCAACTTTCCTCTATCTGATACATCCTACCAGGGAAAAAGTTAACAAGTTAGGGGGGAAAAAAAGTAACACCGCTAATTCTACAAATATACCATCTAACATATTTAGGATAGTAAAGAAAAAGTAAAATAAAACTTACATTTATCAGCCTTAAAGTTAAAAATAATGGAAATGATATAATTACATATTCTTAGATATATGTTTTCTGCATAAGACTGGCATACCTAGTAGGTATTAATAATTCTTTGTTTATCATTAGGCAACCTGGAAGAATTATTTTACACCCCAATATTATAAAATCTCCAAAGTAATATGTATAACTACTTATTATATCTTTAACTACCATTGATGATTACTTTGAATAGCAACATCATTTGTTGTGGGCCAAATGTTTGGCCAAACATTTCAGCATTCTTGACTGTTTTCTACTTACATGTCCCAACACATTATTTAGAATATTATACATCTTTATAAAAGGTTACATTTTTAAAAAATACTCTTTCAAATTATATCCAAATATTTCTTCCATTCTTACAAGTTGCATGATAATTACATATTTAATGTAATTATATAAATATAAGTTAAATATAAATATATTAAATATAAATTAAATATAAATATATTTAATATAATCATGAAGGCATAAAATAGCTTACCATGTCCACTAAGGCTACGTAGAGAAACATGCCAGCAGTGACTGCAAAGATCCAGAGTGTGATGTTATTGGCATACTGACCAACAGCAGTGCCTATGAGCATGCCTATGTAAGCCATCATGGCAGAGAGGAGGTTGTATACAATTGCTTGCTTTACAGTCATGCCTGCTTTAAGAAGAACTGCAAAATCACCTGCAGTTAAGACATAATGGGAAAGTTTCAAAACCATAGCACTCCATATACAAATTGAGAGAAAACTAACACAAGACAAAATTAAGAAGCTTCAGAGCTATTTTATATGAAAAATTTACTTTTTACTTATTAAATTGAACCTTTATACATGCAAAAACTTAACTAAATCTCAAAGGCCTGATGCCTACAAATCTGTGGATAGTTAATCTACAACAAACCTATACTGAAGAAAGGAGAGTCTCTTCAGCAAATGGTGCTGGGAAAACTAAACAACTGCATGGAACAAAATGAATTTAGATTATCATCTTGTACAAAAATTAACACAAAATCCATCAGAATTGGATGTGAGACCCCCAAACCAGAAAATACATTGAAGAAAACAGTCAAAGCATTTCACAATATAGCATCATTGTTATATTTCTGGATTTGTCTCCAACAGTAAGAGAAAGGAAAGTAAATGTAAACAAATGGAACTACAATAAAAGCTCCTGCGCAGTGAAAGTAACTACTAGTCAAATAAAAAGATACCCTATTAAATGGGAGAAAATATTTGCACTAAACATGTGATGATGAGCTGATATCCAAAATACATAAAGAATTCATACTCAAAAAGAAAACAAGCCAATCCAAAAACATGGCTAGGAGTTTGCTATAAGCAGTCTTTCTCCAAAGAAGACATACAAATGGCTCAGGGAAATGGTGAAATGCTCATTATTTCTTATTATCAAGAAAATGCAATAAAAACCATAATGAAATTGTGAGAAAGGCCCATGTCAAGATGACCAGAAACCCCAACTGTTGTTGAGGGTGGGAGGAAAAAAGGGTATTGAGGGTGTGTACATTGCTGGTGAGAATGTGGACTGTTCCAGTTAATATGGAAAGCAGTATAGAGGTTTCACAAACAATTAAAATTGGATGGACCATATTATCCAGCATTCTAACTATATGCCTAAGAATCAAAAACATGGGTGATTCTGGCCCCGGAGGTGAGCCACATGGCGCCACAGACCTCTCCTGACCCACTCACTGCTCCCCTCAGCAGTGTACTTTGACGATCTGCCTGTTCTGCTCCCCACTCTGTCTCTGGTGAAGCCTCTCACTGCTGTATGCACAAATAAATCTTTAAAAAAAAAAAATCAAAAACACTTCTTCAAAGGGAAGTATATGCACTCCTATGTTCATTGTTGCCCTATTTACAATAGCCAAACAGTAGAAACAACCTATATGCCCAAGGTTACAAGGTAGTTTATAAAAATGTGACATATATTTGTAAATACACAATGGGATGCTTATGATAAAGTCAAAAAGTTTAAGTTATTATTCCAAAACCTCGGTGCTTGTTAGTATCAGTCAAGATTGTATCCTGGGTTTTTAAATAACCACCCAGTTCACTTTTTGGATATCAACATTAACCTTTCGTTATTTAAAAAAACAGGCTGACTTAGGGATATTAGGGTAAGTTCCAGTAGTCTGGAAATTTTATTGTGATTCTTTCTAAAATGTAAAGAGTTCATACAGTACATGAAATGAAATCAAAGTGAGTTTAACAGCAAAATTTGGTATTAAAATTGAGAATGATATTTCTTTTAAAAATCATCCTCAGTGAACTAGTTATAAGTTATGATGTTACATCATAATAGTCACAATTATGTTTTTGAACTCAAAGATAACAGAAAATGACATTTTGTCAATCTTAAGCACACCTTTTCTTTTTCATATTTTAACATAATCCATCTTAAAATTAGTAACACTTGCTTTAGTGATTTTTTTATATTGTAACATCTCTAACACTGGAATGCATTTATAAATGATGGAAGTTTTAGATCTGAGGAACACTTATAAAAATGTTAAGGTTATATTACCTAACTCATGTGGCAGCTCATGACAGAAGACCGCAATGGAGGTACTGATTCCTCCTGTCAATCCGGCACTGAAAGCTGCTCCTGAGGTGAGGGGGAGAAAAAGTCAAATGTCATTTACTGATCTTCTGCTCTTAACATTTCATTAGTTAACAGGTACAGTCTCTTTCAACTACTGAAAATAATTTCATAACATATGGATGACTCACTTACAATACTATGGTTTTTGAACATTAAATAAAGGTATAACAGATGTGTGGCAACCAGATAAGTAACTACTTAAAATATTTCCTATTAAATTCTATTTGTGTAGTGTTCTAACTCACTAGTAGCTCAGGAATATGGCAGCAGGAAAGCAATCTGATGCTTAATTTTAAGCCACATCAAATTGTGCTTTCACTCATTCATATTTAGTCATGATCTTTATCCAAATTTTTCTGTGGCTAAAGCAAATGTGGTATATTATATTATTAGTAGTACGATGGACCTTGAGACTGAGATTAGAGTTAGAAATACATTTGATTCTACTAAAACTTTTTTCCTTTAACATAGTATAAAATTCTTTATTCTTGGGCCCTCCCTGGTGGCGCAGCAGTTTAAAGCACAGCACTAAGAAGCTGAAGCCACTTCCGCATGAGTTCGATCCCTGCCTGCCACATGGCGTGGCAGACCTCTCCTGACCGCCCCCCCTCCCCACCCTGCTGCTCCCCTCAACAGTGTACTTCGTCAGCCTATTCTGCTCCCCACTCTGTATCTGGTGAATCCTCTCACCACCCCTGCACCTCTGGCCTGCACCCCAGTCTGTATGCACAAATAAATAAATCTTTAAAAGAAAAAAAATTCTTTATTCTTTAACATTGAGTCATTGTGGGATAAAGTCTCTTCCATCCTAAAATAATAATAATAATAATAATAATAATAATAATAATAATAATAAAACCTTCTACTGAGTGATTATTTGAATCTGGATATCAAAGAAAATCATGTCGTGATCACATTCTCCTAAACTGGTAGAATCATTTTACAAAAGCAAAATTCTAATAATATATTTTAAAATCTGGTACAGATTTGTTTTATTACAGAACTTTTCTTCACCTGTTTAAAGAAGTAAATATGTATGTATATATATATATATATATATATATATGACTCAATTTAATGTGTTATATTTAGGGCAATATAAATATATTTGAAAACATAATATTAAAGTAGCATTTTTCAATATAGTTCCTATGCTTTAAAGCTATTTAAAAATTATACCAGACATTTTTACATGTTCAAAAAATCCACTGAAATTATACTTTATATCCCCAAATAAACTAATAAAAACATTAAAAGTCTTTGAAATAAACCAATGTCAGTAGTAACACAAGAGAAATATTCTAATTTCAAATGTTAACCCAACGTATTACAGTTAGTAGGATTAGTAGACATAGTAGAAGGAAAATGGCCTTAAAAAAGAACAAGCTTCAAGTATACTCACCAATCGCTAAGCCATCACTGAAGTTGTGGATGCCATCCCCCATGATAACCATCCAAGCTATGTTGGCTATTCCAGTTTCTTTCAGATCTGACCCAGAGTGACAAGGACCATGTGAATGATGAGAGTGTTTGTGGTGCCACTGATGATTATGCTTCCTTAGCACAGTCTTACTCTCGTCGTGGTGGTTATGTGCAGCAGCGTGGAGATCATGCTCATGAATGGTATGTAAGCCATCACTGTGAGAATGGTCCATGATTTTTTCCTCATCTACACACAAATAGTTTTTAATAGGGGATTCTTGTTGACCTTCTAAATCTGTCAGTTCCGTTTCATTAAGTCGATCTTCAGAAATAACTGAATCATCAGTTCCTATATTTATAATAGCAAAGGACACATTTTTACCAATAAGTATATAAACACATTTAAATTTTCTAAATAAATTAATTTAATTAACATATACACATGCACACACACAATAGATTTTAAGGGTACAAACGATGAACCATTTGAGGTAACAGGAGGGAAATAAAAGCAACAGCAGGCAAAGTATGGGAAAAAAATTTAAAGCACGAGGAAACTGTGGAACTTCAGAGGCACATTATAATTAATGAAAACCAAAAGGTGGAATTTTCAGTAGTACTTATAGGATAAAAAAAATGAACCCATAGTTTTTTAGAGAAAGAAGGCAACTTAAAGTTTACATACTCTTTCTCTTATTTAAGAAAGACAAAATTTAAATAACTTAGATCCTGACCATGATTCTGCGCTCACTACTAGAATGATGTTCATAGACTTAAGTGATAATGACATCTGATGAGTGCTTTTTAAAAATAAAACTGAGGTTGGACTCTAGAGTTTTCAAAACCTAGTCATTAAGTGCTTAAGATCTTAATATTTCTCAAAATATATGTCTTGAATAGAGTTCTAGAGTGAGTCTAGACTGTCCCTCTTCTTTTTTTCTATAGAAAATCATTGGTACTCTAAGGGGAAACACAGAAAGAGGAAAAGCCAGTTAAAAGCTCAAACAGAAAGAGGGAAACTAGGTTAAAAAATTTTTGTATTCTCCTAAAAACTATTAGCTGCCTCATTATATCCATCAGGCAATAGAATATACAGCTATGGCTGAATTGACATTTGAAATGTAGAGACTTTTCTTATAACTACAAAGGCAGATTCTTCTTTTTCCACATGGAACCAGTAACACAGAGAACACAGATTTGCACTGATGAGAAATAAAACTAACACTAACTTACTACCATTTACAAGTCCTGTTTTTGTTTCATTATTTTTATTTCTGTAAAGTACAATAAATCTCCTTCCCTTTACTATATAATTGGCCCTATTATAAAACTGAAATTAATCAAAAACTAACAAAATATGAACTTTGTCTTAACTGTGACTTAAGGAAATAAAAATTGGATACTCATTAGGAAAGCCACCAAGAAATTTCAGAGTTTAGAAGCAATATTTCAATCTATGTTTTAAAAATGGCTTAAGTCAGAACTGTTGTCTACCAGCAAGAGGCTTGAGCTGAAGCCAGTCAGCATCTGGTGTATTATTTAACTTATGATCTGAAAGTTTCCTTCCAATAGTTGATTCTTCTGCGCTCTGCTTCATAAACCATTTCTGTTTTCCCTGAAAAAAAAAAAGGAAATCTGACATAATATCAAATCTTCAGCCACAATTCAACAAAATTCACAGTTGACACTTAAGGGGATATGTTTGTACATAAATTATTTAGGAAAGGAGCAAGAAATAATTTTTATAAATTAATAAAAGGGTCTAACCAGAGAAAATTCGAACTAAATTTGTATGTTTATTTTTAAATACTCAACTAAAAGGTTCAATTAATCTACTTTTAAATTAAGAGTTGGTGTGTATAATTATATACAACCCAAATGAAGAGTAAAATATCCCCCTTTTTAAAATAATGTGTGGGAATAGAATTCCCAAAAACCTTATTCCTTTGACTTACATTCATATCCCTACAAGTAGCATAATGGGCAGGGTTGAACTGGAATAAAAATCTCAAATTTTGGAGTTTATGTCTCCAAGTATGTTAAACTTACTGAACATAGGAATACACATTGAGAATAAATGAGGTGATTTATAAAAATGACCTGTACCAGTAACTGCCTTTTTATTTTGAAAGACTTATTTTTATTTATTTATGCTTGCAAGAACTGGGGTGTAGACCAGAGGTATAGGGTCGGGGGGAGGCATTGATAGGATTCATCGGAGACAGAGTGGGGAGCAGAACAGGCAGATCTACTGAAATACACTGCTAAGGGGAGCAGTGGGCGAAACAGGAGAGGTCTGCTGTGCAATGTGGATTGATGCCTGGCTGGGATCTAACTCATGCTGCAGTGGCTAGTGACAGCTTGACAGTACGGAGACTTAGACCCCTGTACCACCAGGGAGACCCAGTAACTGGCTTTTAACAGCTATGCAATATGGACACGTTTTCTCTCTCTTCTAATATAAGAAATTCTCATTATTGGGCTCTCTCTGGTGGTACAGTGGGTTAGGAACCAGGCACTACAAGCTAGCAGCAGCCACTACAAGCGCGAGTTCTATCCCCCTCCCAGAGGTGATCCACATGGTGCCACAGACCTCTCCTGTCTCACCCACTGCTCCCCTCAGCTGTGTACTTCATCAGCCTGCCTGGTCAGTTCCCTATTCTGTCTGTGATGAAGCCTCTCACCGCCCCTGCACCTCTGGCCCATACCCCAGTTCTGTATGCATAAATAAATAAATCTTAAAAATAAAGAAAAGAATTCTCATTATTACATTTCACTGTTTGGATATTAATTTTACCTATCTGTTAATAATCTGGCTTTCTTCTATTGATTTCTTTCAATGTAGCTCCTATAAAAGTTCTTCCAACTTAAATTTTTGCTTCTAATCTGGCCTAGTTTAAGAGAGCAAAAATATCAAATATGCTAAAACAATGTGAAAGTAAATGAAGTCACGATTCTCTGGGAGATGCTTACTAATCGGCAGAGCATTTTCTTATGATTCTACTTCCAAGCTATAAACCGTGCTTTATATACTTATGTAAGTCTTATAACTGCTGTTTAAGTTTAGCTTCTTATGGCTAGCTGAGTGTAAAGTAGACACAAAAGATGGCCACCATTAATTTCTTACCTCGTTGTATGAGCCTTCTTTTCTACCCATATAGGGAATCACACAGCCCTCGCAGATTTTCTATAGAATTTTAATCCTTGCAGATTTTTTATAGAATTTACTAGACTTCCACTAACGTCAGTCCACAGCCACAGCATAAGCTCAGTCTTACTATCTAGGATTATAAAATGCTACACAACAAAAAGCCTATAACTAGCCTCCTTTCTAGACTATCTGTCCAGTGACACAATCTCATAAGACAGGAAAAAAATTTAGTATTCCATATACCAAGGATTTTTGGGGTTTTGTTCATAGTGTCTTTATTTTACTGAGATTCTTTAATTTCCTGCCTTCACAGTCAAGACATTTAGAACAAAGTACTGACTTAGAGATTATGAAATGCCTTTAAGTTATTTAAGAGGCTTGATTTTTTCTTCAGTTTTTATAATTGTTCCTTTCAATTTTTTTTTACTTCCCCAAATTTCAATTATATAAAAATATGACCATGTTTTGGTAATCCCTAACCCCTTATCAGTTCATTTTGCAATAATAAATATGTGTTTAACCTGCCAGTAAATTTTGGTTCAAAATAAGATCACGATTAAATTACAAAAAACAAAAACTCACCAAAACCAGAAAACCTGCTTATTTTGAAATAGCTCTTCAAAGTTGAAAAGATTACATTTTATATACTTTGCACTATGAAGCTATGTTTGAAATTTAGTTCCCAGAAATAGGCTATAAAATTATTAGAAAGTTATTGAGAATTGATTAGTTAGAAGAAATGTAAGTCTTCTTACTGATTCTCTTAAGTAATTGTCTTTGATATTCCTATGCCATGACCCTAGCTCATCACCTCTCCGTTCTAAGTAATATGTCTCAGCTGATTCATTCCTTGCAGCCACTTCTGCACTAGGTGCCTCTCACTCTACATCTACACACCCACTAGCCTTCCGCACCAAGTGTTTGTTAGCTCTCTTCTACCTTTCCTGCAGTCACTTTTATCATTCTTCAAGTAGCACTTCACTAGGATCACCATATTCATCAATCCTCCTTCGGAAAAAAAATACGCACTTTCTAAAACAAGGCAACTAAAATTAAATATACTATAATATGGAATATGATATGAAAATACAGATAAGTTGGATTTATTTTTAACAGATCTGGATAGCAAATGGAAGCCATGAGAAATGTCTCAGATGTACAGCTAATTTGTACATCTGAGACATTTGTATTAGAGTATCTCATCTCGAATCCCAATTTAGAGCTATGTTCAAAACTGAATTTTGTCTACATATACAAAACATAGAAATAAAAATAGGTTAAAAGTTGTATCATAATAGTGGATTATACATACTATGATATGACTTTCTAGTGTTACTGAGGAAAAGGCTGTTTTTAATATTTGAAGTAAACTAATAAATGTGAAAGAATTTATAACTAGTGAAAAATTTCCAAAACGGTCCTCTAACTTACGTGAAGACATAAAATATCATTCTATACCTCTCAACTGGACTCGTATTCAAACAATATCAGGCAGGTTTAATAAAAGAAAAGCAGTGAATTTAGTAACATAAGTATCAAGAATTCATATATTGTACATTTTAAAGAATAATGGCACCCACCATAAATCTCTCTCCTGCATTTTCAGTCCTGGGACATCAAGGACAGAAAGGGAAAAATTCACAAGAAGGGGATAACCTCGCTTACTGTGAGAGCAAAAATGAGATTCTTAAAGAAAGAGAACATGTTTACTGATAAACCTGTAAAAGGATGAGATCACCAAACTATATTCTTCTAGATCATAATAGGGAGAACAGCGATGGCTTCTTCAGTTTGGGAGGGGCAAGGGACTTGGCAAAGAACAGAAACTTCTCCCCTAGCATCAGGACCTTCCAGTGCCTTCCTACAAAACATGCATGCTTTAAATAATGCTGAAAAATCTGAATTACAAAGTCTTGATTAACCTATGGTTCAATCAAAGTGCCAACAGTTTTTACTCTGAGAAAAGTCTATTTGACCATTTGTGGAGACTGACCCCACAATTAAACAGAATATACTGAAGATAATCAGCATTAGTGTAACAAACATGTAATATGTATCCAAACCAGAACCTTAGAATCAAATGTGAACCAGAAAGGGGATAAATCACAACAAATGGTGGAGGCTCTGAACTTAATTTTGAATGAAATGCTTTAAGATGCTATTTATCTTATTCTTGTAAGTATGATATTGATGACTTTCTGACAAGTGTATTTCATTAAGTCTAATCACTATTTCCCAAGTAGTTTGTCATTTAAGATGAATAGCCATTTCTTTCACTCTACCATATTTAAATTTTACAAAACCCCTTGAATATAACTTTGCTTTATCTCTTGTACAACTGGTCTAGGTATTTCTGATAAAGACGTGTTGTGTGAAAACAGTTACTGAAAAATATGACAATGAAGGCTACATTCTGAATATATAAGTGACTGGTGAGACCTGCTTCAACAATTTATACATTTTTACACTAATTGGTAAGCAGAGGTTGGTCAACAGCTTTACCACTGTACTTAAGGCAATCAGATATACAAGTTAACTGAAACTGCTTTATCTTGATGGTAAGTGCCAAAAAATAAGTGTAACTACAGAGGAAAAAATGGTAAAAGATTAAAGAAAGTTTTCCTCTGACAGTAACAGACTTTATACACACCATGATTAAGGAAAGCATATGGGGCCTCCCTGGTGGTACAAGGCATTAAGTCTCAGCACTATGAAGCTATTATCGTCAGCCACTGCAGGGCCAGTTTGATCCCTGACCAGGGAGCTACCTTCATCAAGCAACAGACATCTCCTGTCTCACCCGCTGCTCCCCTCAGCAGTGTATTTTAGTATATCTGCCTGTTCTGCTCCCCACTCTGATTCTGGTGAATCCTCTCACCCCCACACCTCTGACCTGTACCCCAGTTCTTGTATGCATATATATAAACCTTATTATTTATTATTATTTTTTAAGATTTATTTATTTATTCATATAGAACTGGGCCAGGCCAGAGATGCGGAGGGTGAGAGGATTCACCAGAGACAGAGCGGGGTGCAGAACAGGCAGATCGATGAAGTACACTGCTGAGGGGAGCAGCAGGCATGAGGAGAGGTCTGCCACGCCATGTGGATCTCCTCTGGGGCAGGCGGGGATCAAACTCATACGGAAGTGGTTTAAGCTTCTTAGTGCTGTGCTTTAACCCGCTGCACCACCAGGGAGGGCCATATATAAACCTTTTAAAGGAAAAAAAAGAGAGAGAAGCATATGGACAGAAAATGAAGATTTTGGCTTGAGTTTTGTAGCTCAGAAAATTAAACAATTAAAAAATACTTACTCTCTGCTGTTTGTAGTGCTTAAACATTCTAATGCAGTGTTCTATGATAAATAACAAGTATATCCCTCCGAGAGCAACAAGTCCTTTCAATACAGCATCATATTCTTCCAAAAATTTCTTAGATTCATGTCCATGAGAATGTCCATGCCCATGTGCGTGCTGATGACTGTGATCATGTCCACCCTGAGACTATTAATAAGAACAAGGAAAACATCTAAACAAGGAATTAAAATGCCATTTAAATTTTTGATATTATAACCTCCTTGAGGGTACAGAAAAAATAACTTTAAATTTTTAAGTCCCCCCAAATATAATTTCATTAAATATAAGCAGGCTTCCATTTAATTCTGCTATAATCAGTCTCCTAGAAAATACTAAATTTCATGGTAACTCTAAAACAAAGACCACAAACACATAGGCCTATGGGGTTAAGAAACAGAGAAAAAAATCATGCAAGTAGTAAGATAATAGGGAGGAAAAGGAACTTTATAAATGAGTAAAACATGATCAAGCTAAGTGACTAAATATCTGGTATAAATAAAACACCATCAGATTAAATTCCTGTAATCTAACATTTCTTAAATTGATTATATTCTTAAATTTCTCCTCCACATTTCAAAGCAGTAATAAGATGCTGCCTCTGCATGTACTGTGCAACATTAGTGAAAGTGTATACTGAGGCATGTGTTTAATATTTTACATGTTAAAACTTTAGTCAAAATAAATGTACAGAACAGTTACTTTTTAAACTGTGAAATGTATTAGTTTCACAATACCAATCTTAGAGAACTTAAAACTTAGACCTCTAATCTTAAGTATTTTCCTTCTTTCTAAAATTCATTTCTATTCCTTCCACCTTTGCTAGTGGTCAATAGAAGAGGCTTTTAAGCCTCTCAGAGGAGGTATTCCAAAATGGTGATAGCTTTATTTTATTAATAATCTTTAAGAAAAATGTAAGTTAAGCAACACTGTTTTCACTTCATCAATTCATATTAGGCCCAATTCTGAAATCTGTTGCTGCTCCTGATGGCTGCTAGAAAGGGCAAGCAAGGATAGGGGGAGGAAAGGGGTCTTGAAAAATTCAAATACAGTTTTAAAATTCATTAATTTATTATATCTTTAAAAGCAATGTCAAACGTTGTTCCTAGACACTAGATCTGGAATTCCCAACCAAGAGTGCAGAAGGGAAGACTACAACACATAAGTAAAATTCTGTCTACCCAACACTCCAAAAGGGAGGTGGCAAGACTATAAAAAAAATTCAACATGTAATTTTACATTTAGGAAAAAGCAAAAACACTGTTTTCCAGTTTCAAGTTAAACCTGTAATACTGCTTGACCAGAGATTTTTAGAAGTTGATAATCACAGTGACTAGGAGTGAGGGCTTATGATCATATCAACAGAAATGTCCCACATCGGAAGAAAATAACTGTTATATTCGTCCCCAGGGTAAAAGCCCAGATGCAAAGTCTTAAATAACCTAAAATAGACAACTGAGTATATGCACTAAGTCCTGTTCAAATATAAACGTCACTAGCACACTGGCTAGATACACAATCATTGTAAGAGCCCTATTACATTTCTCCAAAGAGTTTCACAAAATACAGATAAATGTGTGTCATTCATTGACTTTTAAACCTTCACATTCATAATTTAATGAATCAATTTCTTTAAAAAATTGACATTCTGATACTGTAAGATATTACACATATATACATATCTATATATACACACACACATACACACCATGGTGATTTGATATTATATACACACCTTGTGAAAGTGAAAATATAACTATCATTATCAGTTTTGTTGCTATTTTAAAACAAATGATTTAAGTGATTTTACAAATATTGCTTTGGAAAAAATACTTTATCCAATAAGCAAATAATAGAGCATAAAAACTACATCAACGTGCTATAGCTTGCTAACGAAGGACCCTTTTAGTCTAAATATTTTATTTATTTTTTACTTTTTTAAAGATTTATGAGAGATCTTACATGGGGCAGTAAATGAAGAAGGGCGTCTCCACTCATTGTTCCTACAGCAAGTGCAACAAGGAATGTGAGAAGGAATTTGAAGCATCCTTGGTTAATGATGGGAACCAAAATCACGCCTAGCAAGGAAAGCAGGCTAATGACAGTGATAGAAATGATACCACAAATCCATGCTGTAGGAAAGAAATTGATAGTCAAAATTAGTATGACAAAATAAATCACAAAAGCTCCAAAGAAAAATAAACATAAGATAAATGATTCATGGAAGATAGATTATCTTACCTAAACCATGCTTTTTAAGAAACTATTTTTGACACTGCTGTGTTTAAAACAAAATAAAAACATGATATATAAACAACTTGAATACTTGCAAAAGAAAAAAGAAAAGAATTAAACTGAGACCAACTTATAAATACTATCTTCAGTGGCCTATCTAAGAGACTTAAAATGACTTAAATGTGATTCATTTGTGCTATCTATAATGAAGTAAAATTTTAACCAATGTTTAAAGCAGTCATAACAATAAATCTATTTATTAAAAGACTATAATTATAACATTTCCTGTGAGCATTTTAAAAAGCTAAATATCAATGCACTGTATACTAAATTCAAGAAACTTAATATTATCAGCCCCAGATGGAAATAAATTCACAATATTAAAAAGGCCTACTAGACAATACTCATTGTATTTCAATTCTTATTTTCACAAAGGCTAATTCAATCTGACAGAATCTCACTTCCAAACAAAATTTTATACTCCTTTTCCTCTACTCTGGCTTTATATGTAATTTACCACTTTTTCTAAAATATCAATATATAGTTACATGCCACTTCACGAGAGGGACACATTTTAAGATATGTTAGGCAATTTGTAATTCTGTTTCTCTCCAAACAACTGCAGGGTATATACCTAACCAAAGCCCAGGTGGTAGAGTTTACCACCGCCATATATATAGGGCCCACTCTGGCTTATGCAGTTCATTGCTGAGCCAAATGACATTGTGCAGCACATAGTCTATCACTGGATCAAAATGTAGAAGAAATGTTTTCACATTATGACTTAAAAGAAACACAAGCATGGTGGGAAAGAAGCCAAGAAAGTTAATGGTCAACAAATGTTTGTCAAACTACCACAGCTCTCTAACACCAATCATACTGGGGCCAGGGGAGGTAAAAAGAGCTTATAACAACAGGACATGTTGAAGTCGATAAGGAAAACATTAATCTGAACATAAACGCTTCATACATTTATGTTCCCTACCCAGATATGTTTTTCCTTAGTTTGACAATAACACAATCCAGAAACAAGTTATCTCTAAAGCAATCAATCTAAAAGCAATGTCGGTTAAGAACTTAAAAGCAGCATTAACTACTAGAAAAGTCAGGTAGTTCAAACCCAGATACTCTGTAGAAAAAACTCACTGATAAAAATATATATAAATATAAACAGATAGATGGGATTTGCAGAAAAGATTCAAAATATACTGCAGGGGGTAAACAAAGCATTGGTAATGCTTCATAATTATTAGAAAATTTTTATTAATCAGAATCAATAAAATGTACTAGAATTAGTTACCAACATTACCCAATAAAATATCTCTTCTTTTATTCCTATGTCATAATTTCCAAGAAAATTCAGACTGATAACTAAATTTAAATTCATAATTGCTAAAAATCTAGTTAAGCTGATTTATTATTTTCTCTAGAGTTACATTATATTCTACATTGGGGGACACATGTATTTATTCATTTCTCCATTAGTCTAAATTTCTAAATCAATACAGAGAATATCATTAATTTGATACAGAAGACATCTGAGATGCTTAACAACTTATACAATATAACTTAAGCTAAAACACATTAGCATCACAATATCACTTATAAAATTTAAGATCCCAATAAGCCAACATAAATATTTTATCAGCATATATACAAAATCTAACACAAAAGAGTTGAGAGAAAATATGATTCTATTCCACAATTATAAAAATTATATCTGAAATTGACCATTATTCTAAACAAGTATTTCATTTCTAAAATTCTCAATAAACTTCAGCTAAGTACAGAAGAGTAAAAAAAAAATCTAGAGAACCATAATGATCATTCTGAGATGATTTATAACCACAAATAGTTTGTGGTCAATTAGCCAAAACCAAGTTACCAAATGCCAAATTAAGGAAAACAGAATTCAGTGCAAGCTGATATGCCGATGTGCTAAGAGGTAAGTGAGATACATTATAAATAAACAGCAAGCAGCAGTGTCGACACTTCTCTAACTTAGCCAAACACTGTGCACATATTACACATTCCTGGTAAAATGTCTACGTATCAACTGTGATTTATGTCTTTCTCATCCATTTTAAAATAAGTCTATAAATTAAGAAAAGAAATGCCTAAAAGAAACTCTTAATGAGCAGAAAATCTTTAGCACCTATGATATCTAACATCTAATTTAATAATTTTTAGTTTTCCAATTCTTACATGTAGAAGAAATACACAGAGCATGCTTACTACCTTCAAGAGTTGTGTATTTTTGTTTTTTTTTTTTTTAAGATTTATTTACTTATGCTCTGGTACCAGGCCAGAGGTGTGGTGGGTGAGAGGATTCACCAGAGAGAGTGGGGAGCAGAACAGGCAGATGTACTGAAATACACTGCTGAGGGCAACAGTGGACAGGTCAGGAGAGGTCTGCCACGCCATGTGGATCAGCTCCCTGGCAGAGGATTGCACTCTGAAACTTCAGAGAGCTTCATAATGTGGTGCTTTAGACCAGTGCGCCACCAGGGAGAACCCAGAAGAGTTTTTAATAATTTTTAAAAATAAGCCCACATAACTCTCTCAACCTATTTATTTCTGTGCTAAATTATAGTTATTTTCAGAGAAATCTTGGCCAAGTGATTATATATTTACCTCATAAAGGTGGTTTTGCTGAAGGGTATTTATTTTTAAAAGTGTAATTAAATATGAAAGTAAGGAACATGTCCTGTATGTGTGTGTTTGTGTAGAACTGGGCATAGACCAGAGGTGCAGGGGGTGAGAGGATTCACCAGGGACAGAGTGGGGAGCAGAACAGGCAGATGTACTGAAATACACTGCTGAGGGGATCAGCAGAAGAGACAGGAGAGGTCTGCTGCACCATGTGAGTTACCTCCCTGGCCAGGAATTGAACTCAGGCCTTACTGGTGACAGTGCTGAGACATAACTACTACGCCACCAGGGAGACACAAGGAGTATTTCTTTAGTACAAATGGTACTAAAGTAAGGTTGATTAAAGTACCTATGTACCAAGTAACAAATTACCATTTGTTTTTGCCAGTGCCGAGAAATAAGGAGGAAAGAGCTAGATTTTCCTGTTTCAGAAAACTTCATTATTTTCTATAGATCATAGCTATTCCACAGCAACTGTTTAAATAGCAAAATAATCCAGCTATACAAAGTATATATTATTGTAGATACTTTTTTCTTATACTGAGTTATTGCTAATTTTTTAAAATAATTCTACCTCTCTAGCACTAACAATTGAAATATCATTCGTGTAACAACGTGGAAGTCATCAAGGAAAATTATAATCCTTTTGACCAATGAGCAGTCAGGTTGTTTTAAATTTATTGTACTTGAAAAGATTTATCATACTATTTAAATAGTTATTTTTAGAATTAATGCTATTTATATTTATAAATGTCCTAGGTGAGAAAAAGCATTTACTACAACAAAATTGTTCCAAATTCTAAGCAAATCATAGGGGTTTTGCAGTCACAATTTGTTTGGTAAAAGCAAAATAAATAAGTAAAAAAATAAACACCAACAAACAGTTCAAGGCATCTTTTATAAACCTTATACTAACTAACAATACACAAACTATTAAATACAACTAGCAAATGTTTTCTTTATTTGTACCCAAGATACCATATGCAATAAAAAACAGTAAATGTCTGAAACAAGCTTCACTTATTCTGCAAATTAGGTCGCTTAAAACGTTAAAGGTCTTCAAGCTTAGTTATTCACCAATTCCCTTTCTCATTATCTAGAGAGAAAATGCATTCTTTTAAAAAGAAGCACTCATCTGTGGAAACTTTCTAATTAACTTGGTTCAAAGCATGTGCAAGATGGCAGTTTTCTACACTGTTTCAGCATTTTAATTGGCAGAAAATGCTTAGCGGCCTATTCACAGCCCCTCTTGGTAATTAAGTGAGGGTCAACTCTATGACTAAATGAGCCAATCTTGTGAAACAAACGATTTCTACCATACATAGTATATACCATATTTGGTTTACAGCAGTCTTTGAACGTTAATGAGGTAGTAGCTGTGTCACTATGGGAGATTTATATAGAACAAGTTAACCTTTCTTAATGGTGCAACAGTCATTAAAAATAATTAGTAGCAGGGCTTTCTCTCTAACAATTATTAACATCTATCAGGACATAATTAATTCAAGCCTCATTTCTGACAATACTAATAACCACCTGCAAACAACCGATCAATATTCACTAGTAGTAAGTCTGTTTTGAAAGCAAGTGTCATTTCCTCCAAGGCTTTCAGATTGAATAAAGTATAATTTTCAAGATTACTATAGTTAAGCACCTATCAAATAAGTCTGTTATGATATACAGATTATGTCAATAACACAACACAGAGAATACTGTCAAGGACATAGAATTTAGAAGCCTTAAAACCATTAGAAAAGCTATTAGATTTCACCCTAAATACAACAATCTTGTCAGTCTCCATTTTTCTCTGTACAGGACAAATAGGTTCTATTTTTGATTATGTAATCTCAGACCTAGCCTTCGCTCCTCCTCTTCCAAATTAGAATTTGTGAGAGTCTAAGACACTGAACACTCAGGTGTACAGTGATCTCAAATGCCAGTAAGCATTACACATTTTATATCCAAAGATCAAAATTCAAATCTAGTTGCACACTCACTTTCTCTGCCATTTTTTATCTCAGAAGAACAGTTTGTCTACCTAGAGGATGATTTTTGGATTGTTTTAATTGAGTAATCTATACTTAGTTATTTATAACAATATTTACCATTTTGTGTGTTAATTACCTACCAAAATAGTACTAACCATAATTCTCCAGCTATCTCCCCTTACTTACATTCTTCCAAAACATACTTAAGAACTTTTGTTCATGTGTGAAAGAGATCATTCATATGTGGAAGTAACAAAACTTAATGAACAAAACAAAAATGAACCCTTAGACTATAAAAACAAAGTAGTGGTTACCAGAAGAAAGGGGAGAGATCATATATGGGCAAAAAGGTTCACTCATCTATATGGTGGAGGATGGAAACTAGACTTCTGATGGTGAATATAGGGAGTATATACAGATGTTGACCTACAATGCTGTATAACTACAACCTATATAATGTTATAAACCAATGTCACTTCAATTGAGGGGAGAACAACAGAATCTATTATCATGAATTTGTTAATGTGGTTAGAACTGTGAACAAGAAAAAAATGGTGCAGTAAAGATGGAAAGACAGGTGGGGGTCATATTCTAGAAGGCTTAACAGGAAAACTTAAAGGACTCTAAACTTTGAACAATATAGCCAACTGCAGGTCCTTAAAATAGCAACTAGCATTTCATACCAAACCCATGTTCTCTGAGGTAGTTCTGATTATAACATAAAAGATATAAAGAAAATATTAGACATATAATGAAGAAGCGTAAAAGATGTCAAAAAGATTTTTTTTAATGTCAAAAACCATAGAAGTGATACCAGTTAACTAAATTTGGATAAATAATAACCCAAGTTAAGATAATAGCATAGTGAAAACCACCCCCAGATTTTAAAGCTGTGAAACCTTGGGAAATTTATTATGATTACACTCTTCACTTCATAGAACTATGATGAGCAGTAAATTAAGTGAATTTAAAACAGTGTCAGAAGCATATTTCTTAATAAAATTATACTATATTAACAAAATGTTAGCTTTATAATTTATCACTCTAAAGAAAAACTCAGAAAATCTCATTTGCGTAGAAAAAGATAAATCTAGCTTAAGTGCTAAGGATAACCTACAAGGGAGATATAAACACAGGCACTGAAGGCTATAAAGCCATTTCAACAATTCAAAGAACCACAAAAGGCCTAAACTGAAGTTTCATGACAGAGTGGATGGAGTTAGAAAATAAACAAGGACAGACACAAAGGGACTTGAAAATTCATTTAGATATCACAAAAGGAAATAAAATCAAAAACATCAAGGAAAAATGTCAAAGATGTTCAGATTTTATCCAAAAAATGAACTGTAATGGCAAAGAGTTTCAATAAACAGTACAAACTGTGTGTAAAGTCTGTTTTGGAATCACTAAGTGGGAGATAATCTGTGACTATTGAGGTGATGCTATCTAGTGACTAGGATATAATTTTTAAAAAGAGCCTAGAGATAAATCTTAAAATAGTTTTGGTTTTACCTTAATTGAACCTCTCCAGAAGTACTCATGATGAAGCTCAGTGCCAATCACTGACTTCTGAGATATTATAGTTTTACTCCCTGCAAAACAATCTTTGCTTTTCACAAGAGGCACTCAACCCTATTAAATGGTAAGTAATGATAACACCAAATAACTTTAGTTAGGGGTTCCATTATTAATATTTGCCCATCAGTAAGGATCCATTTATCTCACATATGTATTTTAAATATTGTTCTGTATCTAGAGCAAAACATTGCTCTTTAATTAATGCAAGCGATCTATGTTCTAACCTACCATTCCCATATCCCTCCCTATCTTTTATAAACATACATATCTAAATCTTATTAAAATATGTTGAAAATCAACAAGTAGAAGTCAGCAAATTAGAAATAACCTTCTCAACCCAACTACATTTTTTTAAAAATAGATTTTTAAGAGAAAAACTTAAAAACTTACCTGATGCCCCTATATTTGCCTTGTCTTCAGGAACCAGATTTTTATCCTTACTTAAGTCTTCAACTAAAAGTTTGTCAAAATGTTCAATACAAAGTCTGCTGTCAATTTGATATAACAATGCAGGGCAAAGATATGTAAACAGTTCACGTGATATTGGAGAATTGGCATTATGACCATAGTATTTTAATAACTGAGTGACATTCAAACACTGCAAAGAAATTAGTGAAAAAAAGTAAGAGTACTTTAAGATTATGCAGAAAGATTATAATAGAAATATTACATATATTTACAGGCAATCTTTAATAATAATATAGGAATTTATAATAGAAATACATTCAACTTGATTACAAAAGACATTTTAAGGATTTTAACTACTTTTCCACTCCAGCACATGAAAAGAAAATGACATTCTGCCTTGGATAAAAATTACAGCTTTATTACTAAGATTTATATGGGCTAAGAAGAAAAAGGACTGACTTTTCTAGTCAAAGCATAATAGTACCTCAAGATTCTTATTTGTGAACATTTTAGACAGAGTACTTTAATAACTTGATATTAAAGTATAACCATAATGCAGACAACTACACTGCCTGCAGTACACTCAAGTATTATATGGAGGAATTTTGATCCAATGCAAAAACTGAAAGGTGAAAAATAAGTTGTATCATCCACTGGTACCTTAAGGACAAGACAAAACAAAATAGAAAACAGTCAACAAAGTGTGGCCCCATCAAACAGTAAAAACAAGTTTCTATATAAGGCAAAGGAGATGGTACTGCCTCTTTCATTCATATTCACTCTCACAACATGTTTGCTTATAGACTATCTCATCACATGCTTTTATTTACAGTTCAGAAACAATAAAAATTTATGAATTAACATGAGGCACTACCCATCCAATGCATAAAACATGTCCATAAACACTAACAAATTAACGTAAATTTCTTTAAAGCAAATTCAATAATTTTTAAGAGTGCTAAAAATGAGAAAAAGGAGGTTGATATATTTTTAATGAAACAAAAATAAATGTTTTAAGGTAAATAGTTTAAAAAAACAAATGTGAAAATATTTAAAAGGACAATAAAAAAATCACAGCCATATCATTTACAATTGAAGTTTCCTATTATAGTATCTTTTGGACTCATCCTAAATCTGTCAAAGTAATTAAAACAACCTAATATCATGTCCATATAGGAACTAACAGAGTAAACAAACCTACCACATGTGCAAAATTCCTGACTTTGGAATTATTTCAATGACTTGAGACCAGTCTACAGTTAATGCAATAAAATAAGAATTATGAAAAAGAAACTTTTTGGTCAATTCCCAAAATCTTCATATTCATATATCTTGTAGCTAGAAACCACTTTGTACTAACTACATTGGAAAAAAGAAAAGTAACTTGGGAAGTCAAAGACATTATTAAAAAAGATAGTAAAATAAAGAATTAAGGTTTCTAAGAATCTTTAAACAGTAAGATTTAAGAAAACCAAACTTAAGAACAATGCAAGTAAAATTCCAGATTTTGATTTGAGTCTTTTTGAATACTACTATTTTGAATTACTACTATTACACTGCTGCTTTTTCTAAACCTAAAATATTCCAACCGAGAATTACAGAACCACCACCTTTTTTTTTTAACTTACCTCATGTAGGCGGTCATCTTCATTATGATCTTTGTGACTAGCAGCTGAAAAAATTGCACTTTTTTTAACATGTGGTGCCTCTCGCTTTTTAGTATGTCGAAGTTCATCTTCACTATCAGGATCAAGATCTGAGTGTCCATGACTAGGATCATGACCACTATGTTCCGGAAGACGTCCATGAGAATGACCTGGGCTATGTACACGATCAAGTTTGTGGACTCGATTATGCTCATACTGTTCACCCGGATCATGGTTAGGGGGGAAACCTGGTGTAATAACCTCAGAATTTTCATTTTTTTTTCCTTTTGGCCTCCTCTTTCTTTTTGGCTGCTTACTTTCAGACTGTTCTTGCGTTTTATTGGTCTCTGTTGAAGGTCCATGGCTAGGATCCCCACGCTCACTGTGAGTAATGGAATCATTAGGAAAATGGCGAGTTGTGTTATGATCCAAGTGATGATGCAAACAATGGTGATGACACAAACGATAATTATGGTCATGCATATGTTTGTCATCAGATTTGACAGACACTTCAATTGTTTCCCTCTCTGGATCACACTTACGGTTTCTTTTTGTTGATACACTGGTCACAGTTTGATTATCTGAATTTAAATGATTATGGGCATGTTGATGGTTATGTGAGTGGAAATGCTTTCCCTCTTGAACTGCCAAAAGATCTAAGTGAGAAACATGATCATGACCAAGATCCTCATGATTAACCTCAACTACTTTTATCTCTCCAAGGCCCAAGTTTGTTAAAAGTTTCTCCAAACCAAAAAAAGATAATCTTCCATTTTCACCATAACGGTCAAAAAGTTTTTCAATATAGTATTTTTTTTCATTTTCAGCATCCAAAAGTAAAAGTTTGCTTGACTCCGATTCTGTTACTCCACGATGGTGTCTGTGATGCTCTTCAGAGCCATGGTCATGTTTTTCATGGCAGTGGTTGCAATGATGGAAAATAAATGTCAGCAAACAAATGAGGCAAAATTTTGTGTGCATATGTACCTTCATTTCTATTTTTCCTAAAAGGATTTAAAAAGAGGAAAGCATTAGTTTGTTCTTAGGCACATTTGCAGTTTAATGCATTAGGCAAATGTTTTACCCCATTTCTTTCATGGCTATGAATCATCTTTTCCTTCCTATGAAAATGTATTCTTTCAATTTACACACAGCACATACAACCTTTCAAATTAATATAAACTGCTCAAGTCTCAGCCAAAAGACTCACTCTCTTTAGTCATAACATTTAAGAGTCTATATGTTTATGTATAAATGTTGACATTCTTCTTATTTAGTCCTAATTTAAAAAAAAAATCTGCCCTTGAGATCCAAATCTGTGCAATAAAGAATAAAATGTGTAAGAAAAAGAAGAGAAATTCAGTATTCATGAATGTTGAGATCAGGTAGATAGAAATTCTCTAAAAATTATAAAGATAATTTAGTATAGTTATCAGCCTAGAATCAATATACAATATGTACAATCAACTATATATAATGTAATATAGATATCTAGTATAGTTATCAGCCTAGAATCATCTATATAAAATATAGCTTAGGATCAACTATATACAACAATAGCCTAGAAACAACTATATAGCCATGCACCAGTAATAATTGGAAAAAATCAAATTAGAGAGGAGTATCATTCCTGTAGAAAATGTGTTCGAGTAAATCTAACAAAAGATGAGTCAACTTTTACATAAAAACAGAAATGGAAAAAAAAAAAAAGACCTAAGTAGATGGATGACTATAATCATGTTCATAGTTGGATGATACAGATCCAGTGTAATTCCTCAAATTCTCAGAAGTTACTCTGTGAAAACTGATGAGGTATTTTTTATATTTATGTGGAATCAGAAAGGGCCAAGAATAGCCAAGACACCCTGAAACAAGGCAGGAGCTCTTACTCTACTAGTTAAATAAAAGACAATGTGGTGCTTGCTGTAAGAACATAACAGGAAAAAAATAGAGAAGGTTTTTGTTTCCTTGGTGCTTGGTCAGTTAGATTTCCACATAGAAGAAAAAGCAAATTAAACCTGACCACATATGAAAAATCAATTAAAGATGGATTACAAACCTATATCAAAACCACACACAATAAGTATAGACAATAAAATGAAGCCAACTTGAATTTGCATTCACTTTTTGTAGATTCCTAGCTTTAGGGAAACTCTTGAGATATGTCAAAAGCTAAACATAAGCATATTCACTCACATATCAATTCTATTCCTGGGTATGTCTACAATAGAAAGACATAAAGAGATACCAGAAAACAATAACAGTGATGTTCACATAGCCATTACTAATCATATCTCAAATCAAGAAAAAAGGCAAGTGTTTATTCATAAAAGAATGGATAAATAAGAGCAATCTTACACTAGAATACTGTACAGGAATAAAAATGGCATTTGTTTCCCAGATTAACATAGAGGATTTTTAAAATGCTCAAGCAAAAGATGACAAACACTAAAGAAATGTTACCATGTAATTCTACTTATAGGAAGTTTAAAAAGGCAAAACTAAGCTGAAGTGATTATTTCTGAAAGGAAGGTATTAAAAAGTGGGACTGGAAAGTGGTAATTTTCTCTTTCTTGACCTGAGCAATGTTTATGCAAATATGTTTACTTGGTGATGATAATTCAATGAGCATATGCGCTATATTTTTTCTTTACACACATTGTACTCAATAAAAAGTTGGGTTTTTTTTTTTTAAGATTTTATCTATTTATACATACGAGAACTGGAGTATAGGCCACAGGTGTGGGGGGTGAGAGAGAAAGAGAGAGAGAGAGTGAAGAGCAGAACAGGCAGATTGACTTAAACATAATGCTGAAGGTAGCAGCAGGCAAGACAGGAGAGGTCTCCTGCACTAAGTGCTCTAGCTCCTCAGCAGGGATCAAACTCTTGCTGTGGTGTCTGCTGATAGCTTCACAGTGCTGAGACTTAACCCCTTGCGCTATGTGCTACCAGGGAGGCCCTAAAATGCTCTTTAAGCATGAAATTTCCTCCAGTGAAAACAAAATAGAAAACATAAATAGGAATGATGAAACTAATATCATTAAAAAAAAGTTATCTGTAAGGCACTGAAGGACAGCAAATAACTGGAAGCACAAGAGAGGGACATCACCTACATAAATGGGGTAAATGGCACAGGATATATAGTCTTTCCACGTGTATACATAAACTTATTTCACAATCAATCAAAATCTTGATATCTGTTTATTTTTTGGTGAGATTTCACAAACTCATCTCAAAAGTCATATGGCAAAGCAAAATCCAAGAACAACCAAAACATCTCAGAACATTAGCAAAAGACTTTTCGTAAAGTACAGTAACTAAAATAATATAGAACTAGGACAAACCAACCAGTTGAACAGAACAGAATTGGAATGAAAATAACATTATGATTTTGGGATAGGAAAATATTTTCACTAAGACACAGAAAGCCCAAACCCTAGGCTCAAACTTGATCTTTACTTAAGTAGTACTTTACAATAAAATCATGAATAAAGCTTATGACAAGCCCTACTAGAAGATATTAAACATATATAAATAATATACAATCAAGATCATTATCCCAAGACAGCTGCTTAAGCAGTAACATAACTTTATAATCTACATATTAGTAGACAAAATTAGTATCTGATAATACTATTTGTTAAGCAAAGATCTAAAACAGAGAACCAGAACTACCTTCTATAGCTAGGAGGACACACTGGTACTAGAAATTTGAAACCTACTAGAACTGAATATGAATGTATTTGATAGCCCCAAATTCCACTTCTATCTTCCCTAAAAAAAACTCTTCCACTTATGCAGTCTGGGGACACTGAGACAAACTCAATAGTCCTTATTACAAAATTGCTGTTTTTTTTTTAAACAATAACTACATTCAAATGTAAGGGATGCTTTGTATACAAATAATGGAACACTTAACTAAAATTAAAGAAAAAATCACATAAAAAGAAATTGAGTGACAAGTATTCTTATATGGGATATAATAAAGCAAATGAACTACAAGAAAAATAATTGCTAAATTCTGATAAAAATTTAGTGGAGAGAGATGGTAGAAGGAATCAGGGAGTCAACAGATAGGGATGAATAGCATTAGAATTCTGGTGGGTCTATGGTGGATCTATGACGTGGTATACACACGTCAAGGTGTGAAGTGATGTTCTTAAAACTCCTGAAACCGAAAAGAACTAGTGCCCATTTTATACAGACTCATCCAAAAAATTGAAAAAGAAGGAAAACTACCACAAACGTTCTACGAAGCCAACATCACA